TGCGGACGACGCAACGGCGCAGTGGGCGGTGTACTGAAAGAAACGACATAATATCAGCAAACCACAGATCACAGAAACTAAAGGGAGATGTGACAAGGGGGCGGGGCCGGTGTCGCAGCAATATGCCCAAAAACAGAACACATTGCTCGCGACAGCAATGATGACAGCAGCGACGTTATAATGTAAACAGTTCACATTGCTGGCGTAGTACTAAAGATAATTCGAACGTTGAGTACTGATACCGCAGTGAATAATGAGCACATATTTTGATTACTTTGTGTGTGTGCATTTCTATGCGACCTTTGTCCAGCAGTGGACGTAATCTGGCAGAAACGTCAAGAAATTGTGACACCCAAAGTAGCCAAAAAGATCGCAACACGTCTTTGTTACAATTGAAATAAGGATGTTGTCAACTTTTTGGCCACTTAGGGTGTCACAGGCTATTTGACGCTCACTGTACATACATAAGATGTTTCTGTTATGCAGCTGTGTGTACTAAAATATATCGACAAGCTCGTGTTTTAAAGCAAAAACAAATAGCACATACATTTCTATATCCTCTGCTACATTCGCCTCAGTATCGGGTTTCGCAGCCGACAACCTGTGTGGTAAACAATAACGAATCACATACAAAAGCAATTACACATAAAATATACAGTGCAAACACTAGGTACACATACATAAATTATATATTTGAGGCAATGAGGGCTATCGTTTTAGCGCTCACCAGTTAGCGCCACTGTAGAGTAAGGTCCTGTCACTTGCTAGTAGCGAAGACAGTGGCACCAACTGGTGAGCGCGAAAGTGGTAGGAAGACTATCGCATTTGCACTCATCAAGATGGCGCCACTGTAGAGTAAGGTCCTGTCAATCGCCAGGGGTGCCAACTGTTAAGTATAAAAACGATAGCCCTCATTGAAATCATTGGGGGAGGCCTCTGTTCAGCAGTGTCCTATGGCTGAAATGAAGATGATGATGAAATTAAATATTAAAAAAAGAAACCACTATTTAAATTGAAAAATTGGAAATTTTAAATTTTCAAACATGATTTGAAGAGTAATTTTGATATACAGGGTGTTAGGTAAATGGGTATATGAGCCGGCACTAGCCCATGTTAACATGGTCATATAAATGGTATGGTGAAGTCAGAAAATTGATATCTTCATTTAAATTATTTTAATTTTCATACAAATCGGATTTTATAAAATTTATTTTGTATGAAAATTGAAAAAATTAAAATCATGATATCAAATTTCTGACTTCACCATACCATTTATATGCCTATATTAACATGGGCTAGTGTCGGCTCATATACCCATTTACCTAACACCCTGTATACAGTGCACTCTCATAATATAATTGAGATAAATATAACAAAGCCTCTCAAGCTAAAATCCAACAAGCCCTTCAGCGTCTTTCAGATGCATAGTGCAGTACGGCGTGAGTCCGCAGCGCGAGCAGTACGAGTCTAGTCTTATGTCGCGTTACTGTCTCGACTCGCTCGCGTCGTAGTTTCGTCGCGCCATCCTATTACTAAACCTGTTACGCCTTCTTCTAGCTATCCTAACTCACCTAGCTAGGTTATGGCACACGGCGCGGTGCCGCTCCGCCCAGTCGAGCCGCTGGCAGCGCGACGAGCAGTACGGCGTGAGTCCGCAGCGCGAGCAGTACGAATCGGCGGCGACTATGTCTGACGTCACTTTGTTTGTAGTCGCGTCGCACTGTTCCTTAGCCTGATACACATAGTTACACACGTCTAGCTTCTTCCCAGCTTACCTGACGTGGTTGTGGCACACTTTTGTCTCATCTGCGTCGCTGTCTCGCCTCGATTGCGTCCTCTCGTTGCTCCTATCTATTTTCAAACCTTTTTTTTTCTTACCTGGCGAGGTTATGGCACACGGCGCGGTGCCGCTCCGCCCAGTCGACGAGCAGTACGGCGTGAGTCCGCAGCGCGAGCAGTACGAGTCTAGTCTTATGTCGCGTTACTGTCTCGTCTCGCTTGCGTCGTAGTTTCGTCGCGCCATCCTATTACTAAACCTGTTGTGCCTTCTTCTAGCTATCTTCTAACTCACCTAGCTAGGTTATGGCACACGGCGCGGTGCCTCTCCGCCCAGTCGAGCCGCTGGCACCGCGACGAGCAGTACGGCGTGAGTCCGCAGCGCGAGCAGTACGAGTCCGCGGCGGAGCCACACGCGACACACGCGCGCGACGCAACGCGCTGTAGCGCGGGAATTGTTAGCTGTGCAATCGTGTTTGGGGATACAGGTTCGTTTATTTTTTATTTCCTTTCTTGTATTAGTTATTTATTTAACAAATATCACTATTATGTGTAAGTAGGGAGCGCGTAAACTGAGCGCAAGCGTCACAATGCAGATGCAGAGAAAAGGATTCGAGTAATTGTAGAGAAGAAAAGTATGTCTATTACTACTTTTTTTCTGTACTCGCCTACTCCAGGAGCATTTTACTCATCTCTAACCTCCTTATTAATAAAAAGTTACACCTAGGATGAACCTTGGATTAAAATAACATTTCCATTTTTCATACTAAATGACAATTTAAGCCAGAGTTCAACTAGGATGTAACTTTTATTAATAAGGGGGTAGATGTTTTAACTTAATTCTATCTTTCTGTCTATGACCATACATTATGGTTAGTAATAAAAACTTACAGCTGCATCTCAGTTTAAGCGCACTCATAAATATATTTTGTCATAAAACTATGTTCGATATTTCCATCTCTACACATTCCTAGTGGTGAGTTCACTATTCGATTATAAATCAATCTGTACTTTGTAGAAGGTAAATATTCTGAATATTATTTTGTACTTGTTACTGTACTGGTGATTAAAAGCTGTACTGGTGATTACCTCTAAAATACTTCTCAGGAATTCAAAAATGAAACAGCAGATTCTTATCACAATTTATTTATTTAAAACATAAACTAAATGCACAGTTGAACAACCCAACATTGTACAGTCAACGTCGAATAGTCCGTGACACCCAAAGTGGCCAAAAAGTTGCCAACACAACCTTATTCCAATGTAACAAAGACGTGTTGCGAACTTATTGCCTACTTTGGGAGTCACGAACTATTTGACGCTGACTGTACCTGCGTTATTATAACAAAAACAAATTAAACACTAGCAAATGCACGTTTTACAACATAAAAATACTTACCCTAAAATTATTGTAAAGTTAAGTCTAAAAAGTAATTATTATAATAATAATAAGTCGTATCCAGGAATGTCATGGTCACAAAAATTGGAGAAATTGGAACTTCAAACCATTATCAAGTAATAATTCCAAGACTATAGGTCTCTATAGGTCTATAGTCTGATCTGTGAGCACGTAGAATTTTGTCCAATGACCCCTAGCTACCCATCCTTATCGCTCGCGCGTAATTATACATAATTACGCGCGAGCACGACAAAATTCTACGTGCTAACAGACCGGGTTTTGGGGTTTGGAGGGGTGACATAATGACGTGACACAGCTTATTATTGTCTAATGGCTTCAATGGTGCGAATTTGAAGCACACTGGTTTCGCCAATGTCGAGTGTTTAAAGAGACACGGTGGACAGTGGAATTTGAAGTTTGCCCGGTGATAATTTAAATAGTGAATAGGCACTCACAGGGCAGATATGTACCATCATAGACTGCATCCCACTTAACATCAGGTGCGATTGTGGTCAAATACCTGCCTCGTTATGCATAAAAAAAATTCATTCTTCATTGTTTTTTTTTTAAACTGACACAGCTTAAAAAAGGAAATCTGAAGTCTCGCTGACGTTTGACGTTACAAAAACAACCTTCCATACCTCAGACACTAGTTAAATCTACAGTTGAAAACCAATCCCGTATTCAGGACGAAAATAAAAAGGTTTTTTAGAGAATTTGTGTCTTAGAATTATTAGTAAATGATGTCATTACCAAATTACAGTACATAAAATATGTCAATGTTTTAAAATGAGTCTTGACTCAATCAAATGATGTTATTTTATAACATCTAGTCAACACAAAAGCATTTTCATTATATTCCAGTCTATGTGCGTTACATGCTACAAGTAGAAACATAAGTAACTAATCAAATATTTAATGATTATTTCAGAATATTTTATTCTTTCTAATCTATGTACCAACAATTTTAAAATCGATCCCTAGCTTATACATCGAACCTATATTAGGACAGATATTTAATTTTTTTATAATCAGCTATTCAATCAATGATAAAGTACACAATAATTGATTAAAAAATACAACCACCTGATTTAAAATGTACCACAATTTTTAGATCTAAACTATCCTATGTCCTATACAGTGTGTCCGGGCATGTATTGATCAAACTTTAAGGACGTAATCTATAGACAATTTTATCGATGAAAATACTTCAAATTTGGGTCTTGCCCCATTTCTCGCAAAATTACAAGGATTTAAGTTTTTAATTTTTAGTTTTCATCTCTTCCTTCAAAAACAAGTGAAAACGTGGGTAACTTAACATTAATAAGCAAATATTTTATATCATGCAATAGCCAATAAAATTATCTACTAGTAGAAGTAGAAAACAGACACAAGTTTCATACATTTTAAGGGAGTAAGAATGGATTTAATTAGAAAAAAACATGACTTTTTTCACTTCATTTTCAGTTATTTTCCAACACAAGAAAAACCAGGTCGTTAAGGTATGTTTTATTTGCATTTTATTATTAGTATTTGAGCCATTCTACTAGATAATTTTATTGGCTATCGCATGATATAAAATTTTTGCTTATTAATGTTAAGCTACCCACGCTATCACTTGTTTTTGAAGGAAGAGGTGAAAACTAAAAATTAAAAACTTAAATCCTTGTAAATATGCGAGAAATGGGTCAAGCCCCAAATTTAAAATATTTTCACCGATAAAATTGTCCATTGATCACGCCCTTAAAGTTTGATCACTACATGCCCGGACACACTGTATAGATCGTTTCATTCGCGAAGACGCGCCCCACCATTCTTCCACGAAAGTTTGAGTGTTATCGGTACACGCTAATTATCCTTTAGTGCACAAGCACACCACAATAATGACGCTCGGATTGTTCGGATCAAACTGCCATCACCCCGCGCTTCCCTCGGCCAACAATTGGTGGGGCGCGTCTTCGTGGATGAAACGATCTATCTCAAGGCACAAGCTAACCTACTAACTTCAACTTACGACGTACAATCATATAGGATGTCTAAAAGAAGAATTTAAGTTTCTCGCCGCCAATATTGGGGTTGAAACTCTTGCCCTGTATTACTGACGCGCTCTGCCTGTCTATGACCAGGGTAAATCGACCGTTGCCAGGGTAAGACGAATCGGTATATACCTTCCATAGTTCTGTGTTGAGACCAGGGTTTTTGTCCTCTAGTAGATCGAAGACCATGTTTAAGTCTTCCTTGTTATCAGGTAGTAGACGAGAGGGTATCTTTATTACAACATTCTTCCGACCCAGCGACCCGGTCGGTGAGGGCATATCGCTGTATGCTGTATTAGGGTCTGTTACTGTCTCCCGACCAGAATAGGTTTCTTTTGTAGGTGTCTCGACGATTTGGGAAGACTCATCGATTTCGTACTTGCATACTTTTATGTCGGCTTCGTTTTGAGAAATCACATCCCATTGGTCGATTTTCAAGTCTGGATACTTTCTTTTCAGATCAGATTTCAATTCCTCGATGGTCATTTCTTTTTCTTTCTTCTTCCCTTTTGCATTTACGTTGCTGTTGCTCATTTTCTTCAAATGCATCTTGGTTAGTTCTTCAAGACTCGCTTTGGGTCTCAGTAGAGACTGTAAATGACCGAGTTTGAACTGTACAGGGTTCCCGTCGATGAATTTATTGAAATCACTCTTCGTTATAACCTGAGCGGAGAGTTTATCTATCTGTAGTACTACATCCAGTTTAGTCTTTGCACGTACTGTGCTGATTTTCCTCCAATACTTCGTCCGAAGTCTCGGATTCTGTTTCTGTAGTTGTTCTATCACAACATCTGTGTCTTTATCCGTCTTCACAACCATGCTTATGATTCCCACAGCGCCGCGGAATTCTGTAGACTTTAAATTGATGTGTAGCCTTTCGTTAACCTCAGGAATGGAATTCTCCATCCATTCTCTAGAATTCATGTTCTGGCAGATGATGAAAATCACTCCGTCGAAAAGGTACATATCGTGGAATGTTGGTACGGAGTTGGGAAGCTCGAAAACTCCTTTCTCGTAAGCATCACAGACGATGTTCTCGAAAGTTCTCTTGATGGAATGGAACAGGACTTCGTCTACGCGTGTCTCTGGGTAGTTACTGGGACCAACGTACAGTTTTAAGTCGTCGGCGATCAGATCTGAATAGTGATTGGTCCTGATTCGAGTGAGAGGAGTATTCGTGATCTCTGGGTCGATCGGTGCATACATCATCTTCAGTACTTTATCCCTCAATTGTTTTCCTTCATCATTATCATCAACATTGTCATCTTTATAGGAATCTTCGAAACTTACGTCTCTCTTTTGCCGATCAATAATTCTGAAGCTCAACTTTTCTCCTTCGTAAGTAGGATCAAAATCTGGACTTTTAATCACATCTAGCGATTCTGGGTCGACACCAAACTGTCTTTTTTGCTTCCCAGCTACGTCCGAATAGTATTTCCAACAGTCTGGCTTCAAACCGGGATATTTCGCTTGCAGTTTCAACAAAATTTCCACAGATTCAACATGAGCGTGCTCTTTAGGCAAACGCAGGACTACCCTAGTGTACCTAACTAGATTCTTAATATCCCTAAAAGTTAGCTTCAAGCCGGTGGAGTTGATGAATTTTGGCAGCACTTCAGTCAAGTAATCTTTAGTTTCTAAGCTATCACAAATGTATATCACAGCTCCATTAGACAAGTAAATATCTTGGAATTTTGGAATGATGAGATTCGCAAATCTTTGCATCTTCATGTCCTTGTGCAAGTACTCTTTGAATAGATGCTTCAAGCGTCTTATGTGGGTCCCTTCAAGTTTATTTTGCGGATACCCTTCTAACGTTATGGCAACTTTGAGTTCGTTTTCGACGTGCAAATAATTCGTTCGTCTATGGTAGGCTATGCCTCTATTGCTATCGATATTTAGGTTACTACTTCTACTAATTAGGTTTTCGTTGCTCTCAATTATAGATTCAGTCTTGTCAGACACTGCGACAGCTGACGTAGCTGTAATATTGTTATTGTCATCTTCTGTGATTTCCTCAATCTTCTCTCTCTCATCCTGATCACTATTGTAGTTGTTCGCTTCATCCGACCAAACTATAACTTCATCTTTATCGCTTATATACTTAACGTCTTTCAATTTCTTCAATATTTCGTTCCGAACGTTGTTTTCGAATTCGTCTTTCACGCCGCGATCTACATTTTCGTCATCAATAGGGACGATTTCTACGTCTGAATCGTCGTTGTCGTATACTTCTTCTACATGTTGAATGACGATTTCTTCTGCTTTTTCAACTGCATCAGACTTTTGGGTTACTTCCGCTCTGCTGCTATGGATGTTTCTTGGCGTAGCCTCTTCAGAGCGCAATTCTTCCAAAAGCTTGACCCTGGACGCGACACTGCATATATCTTCAAGATCAGACAGCAAGCACTCGTAGTAAATTTCAGTGTAACCAGTGAGTTCAAATTCGGTTTGATTGTAATCGATCACGTTTTTGAAGGTGGGGCCTCGAATGATTTCGCCTGAGACTCGATCGATGAGGAACGAAGTGCATTCGACGCTATCGACGTTCTTCTGAGAGTAGATTTTCCACTGATCCGTTTTTAGCGTCGGGTTGAAGTATTGTAGGAGTTTGAAAGCGTCTTGTGCGGTGGCTGGCCAGCAGGACTGAGGTATTTTCAGCACAGCCAGACAGAGCCTTTTCACCTTAGCTTTGAGTAGGATCAAATTGGTGCACATCCTCTCTTGCAGTCCCGGGGATATCCTCACCATCCAATCTCTAGTGTCCAAATCCTTGCATATGCAAACTATCGCGCCCCGATTCAGGTAATAGTCTAAAAACACGGGTACCTTCTTCAAAAGATTGGCTTTCAACTGCATATCTATGACGTCAGTCAGGCAGCGCTGAAAAAGCTGCATTTGTCGTAACCGCATCTTCGATTTGGGGTATCCGGCCAACGCTATAACTACCTTCAAAGAGTCTCCTACGATATCCATGTAGTCACAGTTTCGAAGTTGGATGAGTCGATTCGTTTCGTCAGCTTCGTCTTCGCTATCGCTGTAGAAATCGCTGTACTTAAGATCACAAGTGATCTCACTCTTGCCTCTCTTATGAGCTACATCCAACTTCTTACTGGTGACGTCAGATCTTTTACTAACCGTGTCAGTTTTACTCAACTCGGACTTGACATCTGTCGTTTTGCTAGCTACTGATTTCCTACTCAGATCGGTTGTTTTATCAAATCTACTGGAATAGTCGGACTTTTTGCTTATTTCAGTGTATTTGCTGGCTACAGACTTAGCTTGGTTTAGCCTGTCCTTTCGGCTGTCTTCCGAGCAAAGGACGCACGTGGACGGGGTGGAGCTTCCTTCGGAGCTGGCCTGATCCCAGGATCTCTTGAGCTTGGTTTTGCAGGAGCACACGGTTTCCCGCTCGTTCTGCGAAGAATGATCTCGGGTCATCGGCTGGTGGTGATGGAACCACTTCTGTGGTGAATGATGCCTACGTCCGTTTTGAGCCAGAAGCGAGCATGCGAGCACCAGTCCGAGCGAAATTTAGAATTTTCTTTTTTTCTCCCGTTAGCTCCTCGTACTAAGCTAAATATGCTTGTGTCACGAGTGAGCTCACCACAATAGTCGAGCGGCGGCGGGGACCGAACCCGCGTTCCCCGGATCACGAGTCGACCAGTCCGATCCCTTCACCGTTCGGCTATCGTGGCTACAAAGAGTTGGTAGACTTTTTTCCACTTACACACGCGGTCAAAATATTCGAGGCGAAAAATATGATACTTGTAAGAATATCGCAAATACATATTTTCAAAGTTAGTTTCAGAGAGTAAGCAAAGCAAAAAGGACCCTATAATGATGTTAATTTTGAACTATAATTGACTCAAAGTATCCTATGAATCGTATGAATTTTGGGACAATTTATTTCGATCATTCTAGAACATTTTTTCTTTTACCGTTGCATTCAGAATATTTACCTTCGTACATTAGAAGGTCATGCAGACGACGTATATGCTTTTGAATATTATTTTTCTATATTAAAATGTGGACCGACGACCTCATAAAGGTAGCAGGAAGGCGCTGGATGCAGGCCGCTACCAAACGGGCGATGTGGAAATCATTGGGGGAGGCCTATGTTCAACAGTGGACGTCCTGTGTTTGAAATGATGATGATGATAGCAAAATGCTTTTTGCAAATAAAAATCTCAAAAAATCCAAAAGTACATCGTCTGCAAGCCCTTCATCTATATTTTAAAACGCTATGTGAGACTTCTCTAATGCTGTAACCGTATTTTCGGATATATTCATCTCTGTCACTCATAAAAGGGCATTGGCGTGAGCGAAATCGACAATTAAAGTTGAAAAAACGACAACTTAGCCTATATCCATGCACCTATTTTGCCATCAACAAGAAGAAATGAAGATAGTAGTAATTCATGATAGGCATAGAAGTTATGATTTGAAGACATTTAGGATTTGCCACACTGGATGGACGCGTTATGCGTCTGCAGTTAGGTCTTTGTCTATACCGCAGAACGCGTCCGAAGCGAGAATCGGTGGTGGCGGTGATCCTCGCCACCAGTCTTAAACGGTCAAAACGCAACCATATGATAATAAAATAGGGTTCAAATTATGATGGCAATGTATGTAGAGTTGAGGCACAAAATAGTAACAGAAGACAATCACCTGTACGCACTTCATTTGCATACGCACACAGACGCGTCTCAAATTGGCGGCATTCGCGCTCGCACTGGTTTAGAGTGGTTTAGACACATCGCGGCAGTGGTTTAGACTGGTTTGCGATTATTGGCGATATCATCGTAGCGCAGTGGTTTAGACTGGTTTACAATTATTAGGGATATCGTGTCGGTGAGTTTTGTCTATGTGTGCGTTGCCCAAGCGCACTTTGTATGTAGATTGTCTTCTGCTCCTTACTTTGTGGTTGAGGGTAGTTTTGGAAGTATAAAACAAACTGTATACTTACAGAATCACCAGCACCCGCCGCGAAGCTACCTTCGACGTCACGCGACTCCAAATTCCTGGAATAAATAGCTGTGTTAAAGAACATCTTTTTCAAAATCATTTATTAATCCACCAAAGCTTAGCGGTGTAGATGTAATGTATTTTGAAGAGGTGTGATGCGATTTAATGCCGATCACAAGGGACAGACAAGATCTTTTCAAAAATGCAAAAAAGCTAAAGTCTGTTCGCCGAGAGTTGATAAAAAAAAATATATCAGAGGTTCTAAACTCATTACAAATTGCGGCCCGCTAATTATTTTTGTCGATATAATGAAAAAGTTGGTAGATTATTTATCATTATTATCTCTTTTTTTACGGGAATTATTCCGGTTAGGGCATACGTGGGGACTGGGGATACGGATCAAACACGTGGCGTCCATGTTTTGGATAAAAAGTATTTCATTATTATCAAGTGGCTTATAGTGTATCCCAATGTTGGGCAAAGCCCTACCCACTGTCATACCATTAATTTCGGTCTTATGTAAAATCAATCTATTCCGTTTCACACATTGCGGCCCGCCGGCCGGGGCGCTTGACGACAGCTGCGTGGCTCATACCATGGTACTCAGTGCGCGTTGTGACAAACGACGCCCGCCATACAAAATGCGATAATGAAGAATGTTCACTAATTTTGTTTTTTAGCTTTCTGTATTCTCTGTTAAAAATAAAAAATACACGTGAAAGAATTATTTCGATACGTCAATTAGTTTCCAAGATATTGAATTTTAAAAGTGCGGGCGGCGGCCGGCCCGCCATTTTATGCGCGTGACGTCATATTACAACGACTGGCTCATATTTGTATGGGTGGAATCTTGCAAACTGAATTAAGACCCACTTCCAGGCAACCGATTAAGCTGACATTTCGCAAACACATGTGATTTGGATGACCATGCAATATTATGATGACATGGAGCTGATCTGATGATGGAGCTGGAAGGTGGCCATAGGAACTCTATAATAAAACGACTTAAATGCATCGAGTTTGGGCTCGTTCGTTTTGTATTGATGAGTATTTTAATTCTATATAGTAATCGGGGTCTAATGATGGAGCTGGAAGGTAATTCGCAATAAAACGACACAATCGCATCAAGTTTGGGGGGACGCCTATGGTCAGCAGTGGACGTCCTATGGCTGAGATTATGATGATGAGACAACACACATAAAAATACAAACCTTGCGATCTATTTCTCGGTGCCCTGTCGCCTTGGGTTCTGGGGACGCNAAAAAAAAAATATTTAAGTATGTTTATATCCGTTTTCTAGTGAGCGGACGCTGTGAATGTACGTCACACGGGGTCACGTGACCGTCGGCGGGACTCAATATTTAAGCGAACTTTGAATGCCTATAAAATCATAACTACTGGGTATTTTTGAATGAAATAAAAACTAATGTATTTGTAAATGTAAAAGCTTAAGTGTAACATAGGTTTCAAGTGATTTTGCATACCTAGTAACATTCTCAATTAAGCGACAGTCGCTATTGCAAGACATTTCATAATATTTATCAACTCTCGGCGAACAGACTTTATGAGTCACTGGTATGGGGTTGTCAGGGGTCATGTTTGGCTTTGTATGGACTTGTCCGGCCTGTCCGGCTTTTGTTAGGCTTTTTATGTGGCTGCCGCGCCAGTCCAAAGTCGAACAACAGAATTATGTTCATTCGAAGATGATAGTACTCATTCACGAGTATGACACTCACGCCCGTATTCACAAACATTACTATGAGGTCTCACAGTGCGCGTGGACGCACAGGGTCACACACGAACCAATCACAGAGCTCTATTAACGCTGTGCGTTAGATTTGGTGCTTCACTTAATCAAGTATCGTTTGTGAATACGGGTGTCATTGTTTTTAGACCTGGCAACTCCTACACTGGTAGATAATTATTTGTGACAAGATTTTAACCAGTATGTGAAAAGTAGTTAAGGCGTCCTGCCTGTAGTGATACCTTGTACATACAGCCTTGGCCAAAAGTATTGAGCACCCCCTAAATACTGCTTATACGTGATAACTATAAAAGATACTCAAAGATATTTGATAAAAACCTTTCTTTGACAGGTTTTGAAACATAAACTCACGGCACAACGTGCAATAAAACACGTTTCGAGATGTTTAGCTATGATACTGTAGTATTGTTAGTCTTTGAAAAATCATAACAAATCTTCTTCCGACCTCGCTGCTGAGTTATCAGCTGAAATTAATACGCCGATTTCTGGAAGAACAACTCGCAGAAGACTCCAAGAAGCTGGGCTTAAGGGCTATACAGCCAGAAAGAAGCCATGGCTCTCAGTAAAGACCAAAACAGCTCGTTACGAGTAGGCTTTAAAATACCAAACTTTTACCGAGGAAGATTAGAAAAATATTGTGTGGTCAGATGAATCAAACTTTGAGGTAAGTTAGCCAATATCATGTAATAACAATACGCGACAATAATATTATAAAACTATATTTGTAAAAATAAATATTGGACCGAAAAACACTTAACAAAATTTCGTTACTTTATGATTGTTGGCACACCTGGTGTGACATTTGTCCGTCGTCGAGTAGACGAAGAATTTACCCCGGAGTGTAAGGTACCTACCGTCAAACATGGCGGCGGCAGTGTGATGGTCTGGGGGTGCATGAGCGCCGCAGGAGTTGGGGAAATGTTTGTGTGTGAAGGACGCATGGACTCTACAAAGTACATAAACGTTCTTGAATCCGCACTTCTGCCCTCGTTTACAACACTTTTTGGTGACACCAACATGGAAAGCGTCAAATTCCAGCAGGATAACGCACCTTGTCACAAACGATGGCTTGGTTTAGTGAAAATAACATCGAGCTGCTTGAATGGTCTGCCCAGTCACCAGACCTGAACCCCATCGAGCATTTGTGGGGTCTATTGAAGGACAAGGTCCGGCGCCATTGAATAAAAACAAAAGAAGACCTAAAACGTCGCTTGCGGGAAGAGTGGAACGCTTTAACATGTGACGATTGTAATAAATTAGTACAATCTTTACCAAAAATAACTTCTGCAGTAATTAAGGCAAAGGGTGGTCCAACAAAGTATTAATTTTTTGTTGTTAATAAACAATATAATACTGTTAAAAACTGTTTTTATTCAGACACATGTATAATACCTTCAAAATTAATAAATATCATGGGTGCTCAATACTTTTGGCCAAGGCTGTATAAACGAAATTGTCGTCCATTATTTTGCAAAAACTGTTTCAAAAATATTTGGTTTTGTTTGGGTTGTATTGTAAATAAATTGCTAAGATTATAACTTTCTAAAAACATTTGTACAAATATGTGCACACACTTCTTGAAACCATGTCTCACCGGCAAAAGGTATCTTCACAGCTGGCAGTAGAAATAAGAATACTTAGCACACAACTTTAGGATGCATTACATTCTAAGATAAGCATCGCTAGTAAGCATCCTTGAGTGAGACGCACGCTTAGAAGTGACAACGAAAATATTTAGCTTTGTGAAAATTTCCACTTACATTATGTATAAACTTAAATCGTATTCAGTCATCGTATCAGAATAATTTATTTGAAGCAAAACAAGAATTTTGCTAAACTTTATCTATTTTATTTTTCATTGCCAACTCCGTTTTGCCGTTACCGATTCTGTTTTTTTCTTTTTTCGCTCTTTGCTTGCCTTGGTATAAAAGATTTAAAAAGTAGGTGGAAAAGAGACGTATTACAGACAGTTAATTAAAGAAAACTATTTATAACTTATAACTATAAGTGCATTAAGTATGCATGTATGCATTAATAATAAGGCACAGCTACAGAGAACATTATAATAATATAACATTATCCAGCGTCAAGTCTGATCTTGGATTACAGCTGGGCACAACAATGTCAATTTGATTATGAGAAAGAAAGCAAGCAGTTTATTGCTTAGTTGCTTATTTTATTGCTTAGTCAGTGATAGATAATGCTGTATGACTGCTGAAAGTTGTGCTATCGATAGTTGACCTCAAAACCTGGTGTTATTGGCAAAATTATAGTATTTTTATGCAGAACAAGGCAGGTATTTGACTGCAATCGCACCTGATGTTAAGTGAGATGCAGTCTAGGATGGTACAAATCTGCCCTGTAAGTGCCTATTCACTCTCGCCTTGAAAAGGCCCGGATTATAACGTTCGGGAGACAGCAGCAGGCAGCGAATTCCAGTTCCTAGCTGTTCGCATTATAAAAGAGTTATCGAAACGCCGACTGAGAGTTGGTTGATTAAAAAACATTGTTGATTTGCGGCAACTATCGATAGACGTATCATAGCAACACTAGCCGTGATGGGGAAATGAAGTCGATTCATAACAAGCAAAAGAATGTTGCAAAAACAACACAACACCAATTTATATTAACGGTGCTTTCTGAACAAACAAACTTACCAAGTGACGTGTTTTTCGGATCGCAAGCTAACAAAAGAAATAAAGTAATGAATCATGTGATATCTACAATAATGTAAAGTAAGTAAATAACTATGACAATAATAAACTAACTGGAAAATATGTACTTAGTTCTAGAGCAGGGGCTCCCTAACTTATTTGAGACGCTCCCCTTTCGACCATAATAATAATCCGCCGTATCGAACAGTCTGGAATGCACTACACACTGGACAGGCTGTCTCCGGAAACATTGAGTATTAGGATAGATCCAGTTTATTCTAATTATTGGTACCGTTTGATAGAGCTCATGAAGCACTTTCAGGATCAGTAACTAGTTTTTTGATATCATGTATAGTTAGGAAATAATCGAGTGAGATCACTTATCGTTTCCACCCTGTATACAGGTCAGTGCTGGAATTTATTCTCTCAGCGGTCACAAGTTTTTTGATACTTACCTACATAGATGGGTACACTTTAAGGCGGTTATCACACTGTGCCGCGCTCCGCTGCGGAGCGACAGATTTGATCATTGTATGCAAATACCTCAGTTTGTATAGAAAACACGCGCGGTACTTCACACTGACAACGCGTCCGCGCGCTGATTTTTTTTATGAAAATCAGTGTGATAACCGCCTAAAGGGGAGGCCCTGGGGGGCGCGCCCACCACTTTGGGAACCCCTGTTCTAGGGTCTCCACAGACTACAAACTCGTCGGCCGAAAGTTTAATAGGGTATTTACCAATCAATTGACGTACTTTTTAAAACTATCAAAACGAGACTCCCATAGATTTTGTATGGCAATACTAGCCAGTGACGTCACACTACTTTTTTCAATTGGTTGCAACCAAAAATCTTAATTTACAGGTCATTTCAAATAAATTTAGTTTTTAAGACCAGAATTAAGTGCCCTTTTAAAAAAGTTGTGCTTTAGAATTATTGGGGAGTGGTGTCAAATACCACTCTCCGAAAGGATCGATCACATCCCTAGGGAGGGTCTGGATTGGAATCCCCAAGGAAAACGCAAACGTGGTCGACCCAGGCAAACTTGGCGGCGCACTGTAGCGGACGAGGCGAAGAAGATCGGCAAAACCTGGAGCGAGATCAAGCGAGAAGCTCAAGACCGAACGAGATGGAGGACTGTTGTGGACGCCCTCTGCCCCATCTAGGGGACATAGGACCATAAGTCGAGTAAGTCAAGTAAGGTGTCAAATACCCAATTGGACTGTTAATCAGTCAGTATGAAAGTAAGCACATTACACTGATTTGGTATCGGCCGACTCCTCATACAAATTCGAAACCGACCAACTATCGGCCGATAAAAATCTGTAGTCTGGGGCTCTATAGTAGTCTACACACACTACACTACGTTTATGTTAATAAATCGAATTTTACATGTTGAATGTTATAAAAATTAATAACTCACCTGTCGTTAACATTGCGGACCACGATTCTGCCGTCTGGAAGTATGCACCGGTTGGACGCGATGGATTGAGTTACCTGAAACAATATCATCATCATCATCATCGTCATCATCATCAGGTCATTTAGTTTCCACAACAGGAGCACCACCATTCAGGGCCGGATCTACCTATGGGCTGATTGGGCTGCAGCCCAGGCAGTGTTGCCAACAGCTACCAAAGGCTCGTAGCTAGGAATTTAACAGAAAGTAGCTAGATTGAGTATTTTTTTCTCCCTAAAAAGTAGCTAGAAGTAGCTGAATTCAGAAGTAAATAAAATACTAAAGAAATAAACACTGCAGTTAATAAATCAGCTATAAACTTTAATAAACTTAACTTTAATACTGTGACTACTTAATTAACAAATAAAAGAAGACAATATTTTGATTATCTACCGAATATTATAATTATCTAATATCCCATTTTGTCAACTAGGTACGGCTTTAGGAAAAACGTAATTGTGACAGCACTGGCCGCTTTTCCTGAGCGAATCTTTTATGCATAAAATAGAATTCAGAGTTATTAAACTCATTCTATTCCTCTGTTTATTTTTTATTAATTCATTTGGGAGAACAATCTTTCTACCTCAGCATTTGAATGCGGAAGTGAAAGACATGCTATAGCGAGTTACAAATACTTTGTAAAAATTTATCATAATCAATAGTTGCTAGAAAAAGTAGCTAAAAAATTTAGCTACAAGTAAAAAAAAATTGTAGCTGCCTGACATCAAAAAGTTGCTAAATCTAGCTATAAAGTAGCTAAGTTGGCAACACTGAGCCCAGGGCCCCGGGGTTACAAGGGGCCCCCAGTAGGCCTAAGATGCGCGCCGTGATAACTTTTATCGACGTCAAAATGTATGGGCAAAATCGATAAAATGGCGTGATAACCGCTTATCGCGGCGCGCATCTTAGGCCTCAGCCTCGAACTTAGCGGGCAGCGGGGCGGGAGCGGCGGCGGCGCTGGAGCGGGGCGGGCAACGCAGACCCGTTCTCGAAACAAGCGGGCAGCTCGCGCGGCGCTTTAGCGGCGAAGTGTTGTGTACAAGAAGTAATTGGAAGAAAAAATTTTAAAAAATATCTCAAAAATTTAGTACCTATGCAATTTTTAATCAATTTTTTCTTATGACGTTGTCACGTAAAAATATCGTCCGTAAACCGACTTTACAGACTTTTTATTTATTTTTTTCAAATTATTGCCTACTTTTTAGCGGGATCTGGGGGCCCCTTGTATCCCCGGGGCCCTTACGTTACCTAACGTAAGTAATAGGCAGAAAAAAAAAATAAAAAAAATCTCGAAAAATTTTTGACCTCTTTTTTTCGATAAAAAAAAATAGGTCTAGTTTCACCTATTTTCATATGTGCACTTTATCGTAACTCACACTGTATGTATAAGAATAATATATCATTATAGAAACAGTTTTTTGGCATGGCTATTAGTTGAGTACTAAGATAGGCCCCCAAGTAGCTTCAGCCCAGGGCCCCACAAATTCACGATCCGGCCCTGCCACCATTTCTTGTCTTGGCTGGCTTGGAGGTTATATTACTAAAATAATATACTTACGATCCTAACTAGATCTACTATTACATAAAAATGAAGTAGTTTGTGAAGATTTTTTACAGTTAGCTTTCGACCCGCAGCTTCACCCGTGTGAAATTTTGTCTGCCACAGAAAAACTTTATCGCCTGCGTCCCTGTTACAAAAACCGGGATAAAAACTATCATATGTCCTTTCTCGGGAGTTCAGGACTCAAACTATCTCTATGCCAAATTTAATCAGAATCGGTTCAGTAGTTTAGGCGTGAAAGAGACAGACAGACAGAGTTACTTTCGCATTTATAATATTAGTATAGATAAATGAAATGAAATGATGAAATTAATTTACATGAACTTTCTGGAGAATCGGCAGGCAAGAGCTAAAGCGTGGTCCTTGAGCACGTAGAATTTGTCCAATGACTCCAAGCTAGCCATCCTTATCGCTCGCGCGTAATTATGTTGCTGTCGCGCTCGCACACTCACTGCGGGCGCCCGTCGCACAGTCGCGACAGCAATATAATTACGCGCGAGCGATAAGGATGGGTAGCTTGGGGTCATTGGTCAAAATTCTAAGTGCCCACGGACCAGGCTTTAGTGAATACTTACACCCACATTCTTCTTCCGGGCAGCTTCCAGCTGCAACAGCTGCTGCTGCAGCATCATCGACTGCTCCTGAACTTTTAGCCGTTGGAGCTCCAGCTGGATGCCCTTCATCTTCGTCTCCGGGTCCTGGGGACAAATAAAATAAATAAATATCCTTAAGACATTTTACACTGCGTTTCTAGTCCCAAACTAAGCAAAGCTTGTACTATGGGTACTAGACAACGGATATGAATATACTTAAATACTTTTTTTTGTAAATACATACTTATTATACATAGAAAACACCCAGTCCAATACAAACAAATATGTTCATGCACACAAATGTTTGTACTGTGCGGGAATCGAACCCGCTACCTCCGGAATAGTAGTCCGTTTCGAACCACTATACCAAACGGCCGACCGAAATGTGATGATAAGTACATGGGTGTACCCAGGGGGAAACAGGGGAGGGCAGCTGCCCCCATCCCGCCATGGAAATCGCTTTGAAGGAGCTAAGTCAAACAATCTGACCTAAAAATCTGACTTGTCCCCCCGCTGGGCCAAAAACTGGGTATGATTTGCCGGTCCCCAATAAATGATTTGTCTAAACTCTAAATGATTAAAAATATAAAAAAAAATAAGTTAATTTCCAGTAAATTATACAGGTAACCAAAGTATTATTAGTCATTTTAAGACAAATTATTATTGTAGTGTCATTTCATCAAGTACTTATGAATCTTTTACGTTAAGAAATATCTTCCAATTTATAAAAAAAAAATTTATGATCATTCTTTCCCCCAGGACTACGGTGAGCGACGGTAATAATTTACCATCAGGTGATCCGTCTCCTGTCCCATAAAAGAAGGAAAAATCTCTTCACTTGGATATTTTTAACCAACTTTAACAAAAGGAGGAGGGTCTCAATTCAGTCGGTATGTTTTTTTTATCCAAAAGAACTTACCAAATCATCATCAAGCGTAGGCATTGCAGTCTCGTCCATATCTTCACCGTTGATCATATCGTCATGTCTCCTATAAAAAGCAACAACAATAAATATAAATTATCATACAGTTTACTGAATAAATAAGGATAACGGGGTGTCCGATTGACGTTACAACCTGGGTGTCAGACTCAGACGTAGAAAGTCAAAATCAAATTGCAATTAATGAAGGCGAGTGAGCTTTACATGTGGTGGCTGGCTAATGTTTGTTTTTCAAAAGTTTTGCAGACTACACTATCGTTATGTGCATGTACACATACACACACAAGTAAAGCTCACTCTGCTTCATGAGTTGCAAGAAATATAGTATGTATAAGCCATTTTCAGGGCACTAATACACATCCCAAATATAGCTTGCCCTACCACTACTTTGAGACAAAATTTTATTGGACTGGTGCTGAGAAGTGGTGGCAGAAACTCGGTCAACTTTGAAAATAATAACTTTACACACTGCGGGATGCTGCATTATTATTATATTTCCTCAGAAAGTCAGAAACGATTAATGATCTAATAATAATGGAAGTATGACGACGTATTGTTACGTGTCATGAAATTACGCTGAAATAACGTAAGCTCAATGACCTGTTTGCTTCATTAAAAACACATCGAGAAATTATATTTAAGAGATAACAGATGAAATAATAGTACCTATTTTCTTATGAAACAAAGAATACCTTCAGTATAAACACATCACGGCTAGAAGAATTAATGATAACACTCAAACACAAACTTGGAAGAATCGAGAAAAGTACCTACCCTCACTCACAACAAAAAAAATTGTTACGATAATAAGAACGCTAAAGTCTGTCTGCAGCGGGTTTTTATACACAAAACACGAGAAAGAACGTATTATTTGCTAACGAAGTAACTTTTTATAAATATTACCGGCTTCCTGGTATTTCAAACGTTATCGTAAAGTAGGTAACCTACCTACCGGCCGGCACAAAGAAACTGAATTTGGACTGAAACCCTTTGTTTAAATCAAAAAGATAATAGAAGAGAACCGACACACACGCAAAACGACTCCTAAAGTTAATTTTAAACAAAGTTTCAACTTACTTGCGGTCTTTCAGTGAAGACAAATACTTGCTCATTATGAGCGCGTCACCGCCATCCGATTGCATGATGGCGAATTTACAATAAAATACTATCGAAAACTAAATATTCGAAACTGATTTTACAGAAAAATTATAAATTTTTCAGTCAAAAAACTTTTGGATTAGCAAAAAGTTTGAAGAACACAAAAAAGCGACCATGTTAGTTCTCCCACTACAATGTGCAAACTTGCAGAAAATACGACGCAGCCAATGAGAGCGTCCTATTGAAACAACAACGCTGTAATTGGGCGGTTTGGGCTGCAGCCACGACAAAAGCGTGCTGTGATTGGTCGATTGATTTCTTTTTTTTTTAAGGGATTGTGCGATGTTAAACAACCTGTGTTATTGTAATTTTGCCTATTGAATTATTATTTTTGAATTGAAACACTTAAAAAAACATAAAAATGAGGTGAATCAGCGTAATTTGTTAATTAATTTGTTATAAATACCTGAAACTCCTTTCTCTGCTGCTGGCGCTCGCGTTATCGTCCCGGTTGTTTCGCCTCGGTCCGTTTCCGAAGTTGTCTCTTGAGTTGGAGTTTTTGTTCTACGCAACATTGAAATTGTTTTTTAATGCGGGGTGTGCCACGAAAACATTTTTAGGGTTCTGTACAAGTTTGAAAAATTTAAAATCGAATATAACATGGAAGTCCAGGGAGTTAATTAAAAGTTCAAATCCTATCTGTCTGACTAACTTATCGCAGTTATTTTTTGAAACTTTAACGAATACTTCTACTCGTAAGAGCTACTTGGAGGGTCATTTCATGAATATCGGAAAAAGATATTTTCGTTAATTTTATCTGTGGCGGGATAAAAAAAGCGGGAAAACATGCTCAATTCCAAGACTATTGGCATTGTTCTTGTGATGATGATGATGATGAAAGCGTGATGTATCTATGTAGAATATTTACAGCTATAAGATAAAAATCTACTGCACAATAACTTGTACTAGAAAAAGTATTATTTGAGACAATGGTCGTCTTGCAACTATTTTTGTCTGTGATTTAGTTTCGCTAATCGCTCGCTGAGTGAAGCGATCGCAAATAAATAATGTCAGAATATTACTTTGTCTACGGGCTATAAAAAAGATTTCTACGTAAGAAGTAGGTAGGTGCTACTACACAGGCCATCCTGAACTGATATGTTGATCACTAAGTTTGTGACACTTATCAACAACTCCTTTTAGTTAAAGCCCGGTCCGTGAGCACGTAGAATTTTGTCCAATGACCCCTAGCTACCCATCCTTATCGCTCGCGCGTAATTATGTTGCTATCGCGCTCGCACACTCACTGCGGGTGCCAGTCGCACAGTCGCGACAGCAATATAATTACGCGCGAGCGATAAGGATGGGTAGCTAGGGGTCATTGGACAAAATTCTACGTGCTCACGGACCAGACTATAGACGATTGCAAGATTTGCAAGCCTCATCTCGAGCTGACTAGAGCGTTGTTAACTGTAAAGTGCCTTTTATCACTGTTATTTATTTATTTTTTCTTTTATTCTGACCAGCTCGTTTAGTAGGTATACCTACAGAGATAGAAGAATATTAAGCAATGCACTTACCTGCAGTAGGTATACTTTTGAACGTGCCCGTCAGCTGCGTTATGGAGCAAAATAAATAGGTCATAACGGCAGACAGTGGTCAGACTGACTGACATGTCTGACGTTACAAGGAGGGGAGTGAAAAGGTATAAGTACAGACAGTGTCAAATAGTTCGTGACACCCAAAGTGGCCAAAAAGTTGACAACACAACCTTATTCCAATTGTAACAAAGACGTGTTGCGAACTTTTTGGCCACTTTGGGTGTCGCGAACTATTTGACGCTGACTGTACAGGATGAAGAGGGGACTGTTGCAAAAGGGTGTAAGGTGAATAAAAACCGGCCGAGTTAAATTGGCCTTGCACAAGCTTTTTACAATCGAAGGCACATTTTTAATAGCATCTATTTTTTATTAGCTTTGCATTATTATTGCAATACTTAGCGACAGTACACACTGCGCGACAGTCGCGGCGACTAGACTTTTATTATAAAAATGAATCTCAAAATGTGTTGGTAAGCGCATCTCAACAACAACGCCTGGACCAATTTTACCAATTCTATTTTAAATGTTCGTTGAAGTCCAAGGATGGTTTTTACGGCGAGAAAAATTGGAATAATTTCCCGGAAAACCCCGGGCGGAAAGCTAGTTCCTCTGGGCTTCGACTTGACACTACTTTTTGGAACACCCTGTATAATATGAAATCGACAAGAATAGGCGTCTAGTCGCAGCGACTGTCGCCCAGTGTGCGCCAATCCTATCTATTTAAGATAATAAAATAATCAAAAAGAGGCAAAGTTGCAAAAATACGAGGCTAGCTGAGTTTGAAGAGATAAATAATGTACTGTAAGATCTATATTTCACCGGGACACCATGGCGGCGCAACCAGTTGCCGCTACCAACAAAATGTATGCAGCTTTGCGCAACCAAACGGACACCAGGTGAGTAACTCTCTATAGAGCTGTATACATTTTGTTGGTAGCCGGCGACTGGTTGCGCCGCCATGGTGTCCCGGTGAAATATAGCCCTAAGATTTACTACTTGCGGATGTTTTATATGGAAATGGAACTAAGTAGGTATCTATCTATTTTTACAACTGTTTTCTGGTGCGGGTGTACAATATGAGCGACGTAACGGGACGCGACACAAAAATGTCAAGTAGTGGTTTTAAATGTGCGTAGTAGGCGTGAAGAATTAAATCTCATAGCAGACTTATCAACTCGGAAAGGGATCAACACCGTATCGCCTTTCGCGAGCTGTCATCGCCTTTCGCGAGCTGTCAATTTCGAGACGAGTTTACGTTACGGTGCGGATAAGTGTGCGTTGCAGTATGGAATTTCATAAAAATAATACTAACCGCCTTGAGTTGATACGGTTACGATCCCTTTCCGGGTTGATAAGTCCGTCCTTTAGTCGCATTACGTTGCACAACGTCGCATAGCGTCGCATTACGTCGCATAACGTCGCTTCTTGTCGCGTCCTATCGCTCACCTAGGATAACGGGTGATAGGTACAATCTAATACGAGCTTTTAGTTTCAAAATTACCTTATGAGCTATAGTTATGTTGAGTCTAAGCGGATCAGTGTTGTTGAGTTTCGTCATTGCTAATTTTGCTTCCCTGTAACAATACACAATTTTATAATCATCCAAATCCTTTGGGAATTTTCCAAAGACAAATAGGAGGAATCACTCGCCAGTGATGATCTGGTGGTGAGCGCAATCAATGAAACTTATATAAACTTTTTTTTATGCATAACAAGGCAGATATTTGACCACAATCGCAGTTGGATGCAGTCTAGGATGGTACATATCTGCCCTGTAAGTGCCTTCTCTCGCTTTGAAAACGCCCGGATTACAGTCTTCGGGAAAGACAGCAGCAGGCAACGAATTCCAGTCCCTAGCTGTTCGCATTATAAAAGAGTCATCAAACTTATGAATATAGAAGAAACAATCGCCAGTTTAATACGTCACAACCATTCTGCAACAAGGTTCTGGAGTGAAGACCTAGTACCAGAATGCGGAGCGTGGGAGTCCACCCTCAAGGTGGAGCGACGACCTCATAAAGGTAGCAGGAAGGCGCTAGATGCAGGCCGCTACCAACCGGGCATTATGGAAATCATTGGGGTAGGCCTATGTTCAGCAGTGGACGTCCTGTGGCTGAAATAATGATGACGATGAATGACTATGTCTCATAGCAGACCAAATCATATTTCTTGGCAAGTTCCTTGCTGACGTACACTTCGAGAATTGCCGTACTTATAGAAGGCTGCATGGATCTCATCCGTATGGAAGTCATTGCGGGAGGCCTATGTTCAGCAGTGGACGTACTATGGCTGATATAATGAGGTGAGAAAGATAATACGACCCGGTCGATTTAATAGCTCTGTTACGGACAGGGCGAAGTCATTGGGGGAGGCCGGAGGCCTATGTCCAGCAGTGGACATCCTGTGGCTGAAGTGATGATGATGGTGACTAACCCCGGTGTCTCGTAGCGGACCAAAGCATATTTCTTGGCCGAGAGAACGCTGTGCGGATCTCATCAGTATGGAAGTCATTGGGGGAGGCCTATGTTCAGCAGTGGACGTCCTATGGCTGATATGATGATGATAACAATCACTTACGATGCCCTTAACTTAATCAGCTCATCTCTTCCATCTACCCTCTGCACTTGGATGATGTGATAGCAGAATTCCACCGCCTTCATTTATCCTAATATTCAGGCTAATGAGAATTTTCAAATGACAGCACTGGCGAGTATGGTCCTGTCAGTTGCTACCACCACCAACCAGTCAGTATGGAAATCATTGGGGGAGGCCTATGTTCAGCAGTAGACGTCCTGTGGCTGATATGATGATGATAACAATCACTTACGATGACCCTCTGCACCCGGAGGATGTGATAGCAATATTCAGGCTAATGAGGGTTTCTAATCGGCAGCACTGGCGAATATGGATCTGTCAGTTGCTACCACCAACCAGTCAGTATGGAAATCATTGCCTCCCCCAGATGATATGAATGGTGAATAGTTCCTTGCGCTGCTTCTTCTTAGCACTGACCCATTTTTTGTCCAGAAGCAGCCTACTTTAAAAAAAAAAGAGTTTTATGATGATGATGACTCACCCCGGTGTCTCATAGAGGACCAAAGCATACTTCTTTTGAAGGTTGCTGTACTTAGAGAAGGCTTACGGATCTCATCAGTATTGAAGTCATTGGGGGAGGCCTATTTTCAGCAGTGGACGTCCTGCGTGGCTGAAATCATGATGATGACGACTCACTCACCCCGGCTTCTCGTAGCGGACCAAAGCATATTTCTTGGCCGGGAGAACGCTGCGCCGATCTCATCAGTATGGAAGTCATTGTGGGAGGCCTATGTTCAGCAGTGGACGTCCTATGGCTGATATGATGATGATAATAATTACTTACGATGCCCTTAATCAGCTCATCCCTTCCATCTATCCTTTACACCCGGAGGATGTGATAGAAGAATTCCACCGCCTTCATTTGTCCTAATATTCAGGCTAATGAGAATTTTCAAATGACAGCACTGGCGAGTAAGGTCCTGTTAGTTGCTACCACCAACCAGTCAGTATGGAAATCATTGGGGGAGGCCTATGTTCAGCAGTGGACGTCCTATGGCTGATATGATGATGATAACAATCACTTACGGTGACCCTCTCTCTGCACCCGGAGGATGTGATAGCAATATTCAGGCTAATGAGGGTTTCTAATCGGCAGCACTGGCGAATATGGATCTGTCAGTTGCTACCACCAACCAGTCAGTATGGAAATGCTATGCTGCATGGACCTAGTGCCGTACAGCTTACGCTGAGCCGGATGCCCTTGTCACCTTATTTTTAATTGTTAAGCTGTGTTAAAGTTGTATTTTTTTTGTTATGGTGACAATAAAGGTTTATTTATTTATTTATTTATTTAAATCATTGCCTCCCCCAGATGATATGAATGGTGAATAGTTCCTTGCGCTGCTTCTTCTCAGCACTGACCCATTTTTAGTGCAGAAGCAGCCTACTTTAAAAAAAAAAGAGTTTTATGATGATGGTGACTCACCCCGGTGTCTCATAGAGGACCAAAGCATACTTCTTTTGAAGGTTGCCGTACTTAGAGAAGGCTGTACGGATCTCATCAGTATGGAAGTCATTGGGGGAGGCCTATGTTCAGCAGTGGACGTCCTGTGGCTGAAATGATGATGATGACGACTCACCCAAGCTTCTCATAGCGAACCAAAGCATATTTCTTCGGCGGGAGAACGCTGTGCGGATCCCGTCAGTATGGCTGATATGATGATGATATGAATAGTGACTGAGTTTCTTGCGCTGCTTCTTCTCAGCACTGACCTATTTACTATCCCAAAGCAACCTACTTTTCCCACCTCTCGTTCCCACCACTGCAACTCTTGTGTAGCCAGGATCTACAGCTTGACCGCCATAAAAACCCAACCAATGAAGGTCAAGTTTGTCCCGGGGGAAATTTAAACTGCCATTGGACCCGCAAATAAATTAATCAGAAGAACATAGGAGGAGAAGCAGCCTACTTGCAAAAATAAAATGAGTTTTATGATGAAGGTGACTCACCCCGGTGTCTCGTATCGGACCAAAGCATATTTCTTGGCCGGATCCTTGCTGACGTAGACCTCATGCAAGTTCCCGTACTTGGAAAAGGCTGTTCGGATCCCGTCTTCGTTCAGGGCGTTTGGAATGTTGCGGATGTACAGTCTACAATGGTCGAGTTGGACTCCGCCACTGTGGACGAAAACATTGAGAATTTATAGGAGACGGTTCGCGTCGTGAGAGAGACCAGTGCCCCGATTACGCTAATTTTTAACGTCTCCAATACAGACGCGCTTCTTCGGTTGGAGACGTTAAAAATTAGCGTAATCGGGGCCCAGCTACCGAGACAAGAGACTCATGCCCGTTTTCACCATCAATTCCTAATTTTTAAGTAACCCCTATGGTAACAAATAACAGGAGTATAATTTTAATAGGGGTTACTGAAAAATTAGGGACCAAACCATTTACTTAAAATTACGAGCCATTCTTTGAAAGTTAAAGAGTCAGTCACCCTTTACGAACCAAACGTCGTACATTTTACCTGTACTGTACCATTAGTAAAAATGTTACATTACATAGAAATGCGCTAGACTAGTGTATACCATGGACTAGAGCATTTACATTAATATTTTTAAAATCTCACCTGACGTTGTCATCGGGATACTGGGGGTCGTACGAGGAATTGTTGTATTCATCCCTCATGAGGTCCCACTCATTATTGTTGTTGGACCTACCCCGTGACGTCATTGTGCTGTCAACAAAATGAAATTACAGGTTATAGTGTTTTAACAAAGTATTGGAACAAATTTATTTATTTATTCTTGAATGCCATGCGTAACTGGAGAAATAATTCATGATAATTTCGTAAAAGCAATTGAGGTACTAGATTTTTAAAATTTTATTTGGAAGGTACTAAATACTACAAATGTTAAACTATAGCTGTGAATCGAATAAAAAGTAGGGTCCTGTTGGTTATACAGAGTAGACATTGAAATATATTTGAAAAGCAGAGTGAATAGTGAATAGTATTTATGTTAAAATTTAATTTAGTTGATAATTATTACTTGACTTATGGTAAGTAGATTTTTTTAAAGAGCCCTTCAGGCTATAAAATAGCTCCTATTAGAAACATACAACATGCAAAATTAGTTGCCTTTTGTTACTTCAAGCAAAGAAATATGACCAAAACTGAGGGAAAGCTTTTTAGGAATATTTTTCAATAATTATTTAGGTAGTTAAGGCCACACCCTTTGTCATATTTGCTTATACAAATTTATTTAATTATTTGAATAAATCTTTATTTGTTAAACATTCTTGTCTATATGAAATAAATACATTTTAGGTAAAAGACAGATTAGTTAAATTCGCATAAGCATGCTATTAATTTGTATTTTTAAATGTTTAAAATAAAAGTAACAATTAAATAAATGTTACATGACACAATGCATAAATAATTGGACTGTTATTTAGTTTGAATGGACCGTTTTTTCTACAGAATATTAAATAGAAGCTTGTAGTTTACTTGCAAAAGAAAAAATGCTTGCAAGACTAGATAAACCGTTGGGAGTAGGTCCTTACTTAAAGAATAGTAACACTCTACAAAAATAAGCTCAACTTGAACAAACTATCTCCTTGATTATCGCTGCAGATGCAAACTACACTTTAAGCATTGCTAGACAGCAAAACGAGCTGAGACTTGGGCTTTTTCATAAGATTTCTTCGAATTCACATGTGGTCACCTCTTTGTCACTTTAAAACCGGCATTATACCGGCATATAGCAATTTGTCGAACATTACATGATTTATTTAAATACTTCGACTAATTTAGTGCTTAAAATTACAATAAACTTACCCAATTAATTTCGTAAGATGTCGTGAAACAAGAAAACACCGACGAAAACAAAAAATCGCGTTTTTACTGATCGTCAAAAATGACTTTTTTAAAGCGGAAGCGTATGAGAAACTAATCAATGAAATACAGATGACATACAGCTTTATTCATTCATGATTTTGTTTGCATGATTGCATTTCGGTTAAATTAACCTTTCGTATCATTGATCAATTATTACAAAACCATTCATTCAAGCAAAAATTAAATTATAAATCGGTTTTTCGCTTAAAGTATTGATTTATGAAATGAAGCGGAAGAACTAATGTAATAAAACCGTTTATTGACCAATAAATAAATGTGTGAAGAGAAACGTAGAACCATGTACATTTTGACAGAAAACTGACTGACATTGACAGTTGCAAATCTAACCTATCGTGTTTGTGATAAGAATTCAAGAGGAATTTCTTTTTAAATCAATTATTTTATAAGTTTTCAAATATGAAGAATGGACGATAATGCGAAGAACGCATCTTCCTATCATTTGGATCAAGAAGTACTGGACGGTACGTAGCCTGGGTGTGTTTTAAAAGTTTGAAATTTGACTCTGAATTTCCTAGAAGCGATGCAATGCAACAGGTATTTTGTAATATGACGTAGATTTCGTATGTGAAGTAATTATTCGTTCGATTAATGTTTACGGTTTTGATGTCTTGTGAATTATTACTAAATACATTCGAGTTTTTATTATGTTTATGTAATTTGTGAGTCATTGATACTTTGTTGTACAATGTAAAGTTTCAAAAGAAGTTTGTTCGTTTTATTAAGAAAAAATAATCAAAAAAACTTCTGTCCAACTCTTAAATGTTCACAAGTCATTAATTCGCTAGTAGCTATTAAGAAATTAGAGTATTTGCTGTAGAAATTATCTAAATAAATATTGCTAAATGGTTTTTTAACATTAATCTTTGTTTTTCCTTAACATCAATATTTGGCTCCAAAAATTAGACGTCATTAGTAACTTCATTAATATTAAACTGTGCTTATCATAGCCTTTTGAAGTTATAAATTCATTTACTTATTTAAACATACTTATTTTTTTTTTGTATGTTACTATAAAATGGGGTAATCGTCCAAGGGTAAATATCATACTATAGTGTTAGGGACAGAATTTATCAGGCCATATGCATTAATATTATACATAGAAAACTCTCAGACCAATACAAACAAACATAAATATTTATGCACACAATGTATGTATTGTTATAGTGTATGTGTCATACTTTTTCTGCTTAACAAATGTCAAGATTATTTGCTGTTCTCTTCTAATGGTGATTTGTACAAACAAGCATCAAGCTAAATACTATGTATGTCTTGAGCTATGGCTGACAATAGTGACTGAGTTTCTTGCACTGCTTCTTCTCAGCACTGGCCCATTTATTGTCCCGAAGCAGTGGTAGGGTTAATACTGTGACTTGTAAAAGTGCTTTTTAAAAACAAAAATAAATGAGTTTTATGATATTTGTATTTTTTATAAGACCTAAAAAGAATCCCTGAGTCACTTAGCCATCTTTTTTAAAAGTTGTATACTTTGAAGAAGTTTCTTACAAAAGGATAAATTATGTTGTGCAGATAATTGGATAATCTGTATCAGATCGGTTTGATTCCTAGTTGGGGCAATTTTTTATGGGCTTGTTCTAAGTCCGCCTGGCTAGCTACCATCATCTTACCTAAAGCCAGATTTATATTTATCTTGATTACTTCTGATGTCGCATATTAAATGTATGATGAAACCGATTCCATACATTAGCACGTCAGACAAATAAAAGAATAATGCCTCGTTCAGGCACGCGCGATATACGCAAAGTTAAAAATAAGGTGGGAAATATATTCCCACTGCCTTATAAAGGGTTAAGATAAGGTGGGAATTAGATTCCCACTTCATAAAGGGTTAAGACAATGTGGGAAATATATTCCCACTGCCTTAAAAAGGGTTAAAACTATAACAAAAATTCTAATGTTCCAGCAAGAGGCATTGGCATGACAGTGGAGGAGGTAGCTGGCCTTCCCACCACTAAGTACTCGGAGCGAGTGCAGTCACTCCGCCTGTGTGATGAGGACCTGGCCTTCCTGAAGGGACTGAGACGGAGGATCAAGAATCGGGTATGTGATTAATTACATTGAACTCTTTATTTTCGTGACAACAAGCAACAACAACAAACAACGTGGTCGCCCCAAGCAAACTTGGCGGCGCACTGTAGCAGACGAGGCGAAGAAAATCGGCAAGACCTGGAGCGAGATCAAACGTTCGCGGTATTTATCCGATAGTTGGGTCGGGCTGATGATCAATATGGAGATGTATGAAAGTGCGCACATTACACCGATTTGGTATCGGCCGATTCCTCATACAAATTAGAATCGGGTCCAACTATCGGCCAACTAAAAGTTGGTGGTCTGCGCCTAGGCTTAAAAACGTTTTATGATGGACATGGGACTATTCCCACCTCTCGTTCCCACCGCTGCAACTCCTGTGCAGCCAGGATCTACAGCTTGACCGCTCAACCCAACCAGTGAAGGTCAAGTTTGTCCCGAGGGAAAGTTCTGTCATTGGACCCGCAACGAAATTGATCAGAAGAATAGGAGTTCGAAATGGCAGTGCCAGATTTTGTATGAAGGTGGCGTCTTTTTGTTTCGCGCGTCCATCGACCAAACTTTGTTTTTTGATTACAAAATAGCGTAATAAACCAAACTTACTATGACATGTATACCTCTAAACTCAGTCTGAACTGAGTTACGAGCGTTAGAAGTTTGATGATTTTACATACTAGATTTACTTTTTGCGCGCAAGTTTTGTAAGAAATGTATGTGTAAACAAACAGTACCATCCATTAAAGGCTCCAGACATCAATGTGGAGCAGGATCAGCGCAATATTTAAGGTTTAAAAAATAAGGTTTGGTCGATGGCCGCGCGAAAAAAAAAGACGCTACCTTCCATACAAAATCTGGCATTGCCATTTATGATGGACTGAATGCAGGATAGGACGATACTTGCCTGGGGTAAAGGTTTTAACGCAGTAACATGAGACGTTAAGTATCGGTAAGCCGAGTCGTCTGTGGTTCGTAATAAGACGCCTGAGGTTTGGTCGGCTACCTCGCTACGTGTGATGTCTATGTTCAATAAGATAACGGGAAAGTTTGTCAGGATGGATGTTTGTTTTATGCAGAAAATACTTGTCGGCCACAGGATATTTATATCAACCGGCAGACAGTGGTGACGGAGTTTGTTGCGGCGCTTCTTCTCAGCACTTGCCAACTGTTGGTCTCGAAGCGCTGGTAGGGTAAAATTATTATGAGGCTCCTTAAGAGCAAAATATTTGACGAGTTGTAAGTTTATCAGGCCTGTTCATCTCCGCGAGTTTAAAACATCGAAAACAAAACAAGCACGCCTACAGGATTTCTATTCGATACGAGCGAGCCTCAAGCACGCGTATTCTTGTGTATGATGGAAAAAAATAAAGTAAATGGTGTACTAAATACTGTGCAGTATTTAACTGCCTAAATAATAATAAAAACAGAGAATGTACTTTTTTAAGTTGCCTGAAGACACTGAGAGGTAAATAAGTGGCTAATATTATTTATGATAATTCATGCTTAATCATGTATTTCCTCCGCCATTTTCTGCAGTTTGGCACATCACGTCACACATCATTTTACCGAAGTCAGCCCTATGGCTTCGGCGCAGTACCGATCACTGACGTTTGTCAACAAAATGGTGCTTGACTCTTGAGACAAGCTAAATTACACCATATTGTTAATGACATTGAGCATACATTTTTTTAAATACCTTCGCGAAGTAAACCTTCTGTACGTAGTACCAGGCCTGTTCATTAGTGTTCATCTCCGCGAGTTTACATCGAAAACAAAACACGCACGATGGCCCACCTACAGGATACTATTCAACAAGGCCTCACATACGAGCGAACATTGACTCACGCACGCGTATTCTTGTGTATGATGGAAGAAAATAAAGACAATGGTGTACTAAATACTGTGCAGTATTTAACTGCCTAAATAATAATAAAAACACAGAATGTACTTTTTTAAGTTGCCTCAAGACACTGAGAGGTAAATAAGTAGTAAATATTATTATTATACATGATAATTCATGCTAAATCATGCCATTTTCCGCAGTTTGGCACCTCACGTCACATTATTTTACCGAAGTCAGCCCTACAGCTTCGGCGCAGTGCCGATCACTGACGTTTGTCAACAAAATGGTGCTTGACTCTTGAGACAGGCTAAATTACACCATATTGTTAAGGACATTGAGCATACATTTTTTTAAATATCTTCGCGAAGTAAAATTTCTGTACGTAGTACTTATTATTATTCTGTGGTATAGGTCTCTCTCTAATGATTTCCAGATTGGCCGATTGGCAAGGGCTACTTCGCATAATTATGTTGTAATTTCACTCGGCATGGGGTACACTGAAAACGTGGGACATTATGAGACTTTTTTTGTTCTTTATCCATTTGTGTGATGTTCATTGCAATAAATGTTTTTTTCTTTCGTAATTGCAGTTAGCCTCCCAAAACTCCCGCCGCCGCAGCATGGAGCAACTGCGGCGGTTGACGCGCGAGCTTCGTGCGGTGCGCGCGTGTCGCGATGACGCGCTGGTCGAACGCGCGACTCTAGCGCGGCAGAGGGACGAAGCTAGGGCGAGGTGTAAACGACTGAGGGATCATTTGATACAGGTAAGAAAAAGGATAAAGGTATACAATAAGTGACTTCTAGCTCTTAATACTAAGTGTGAGTTACGTGCGACTCACGCGCGTTTGTCGTACGACTCACGTGCGATTCTCGCACGACAGAGACGAGACGAGGGTAAGGTTTAAACGGCTGAGGGACCACCTGATACAGGTATACAATAGCACAAATCTTTTTAGTTGTGACGTGACTGATACGCGCGAGTCTCGCGCGTTTTTCACCCAGCTATAGGACGAAGTGTTGACGGTTGAGACTATCTGATACAGGTGCACATAGTAGCATATTAATGTCTTCTAGATACACAACGCGCGAGTGACGTGCGATTCACGCGCGACTGAGACGAGGCGAGAGCGAGGTGTAAACAGCTGAGATATCATTTGATACAGGTCTACACAATAGAATTAGCGTATTCTAGCCTTTAGGATTATTTGATACAGGTACACAGTAGCATAAGTGTCTCCTAGCTCTTAATACTACGCGCGAGCTTCGTGCGGTGCGCGCGTGTCGCGACGACGCGCTGGCCGAACGCACGCTTGCGCGACAGAGGGACGAAGCTAGGGCGCGGTGTAAACGGCTAAGGGACCACCTGATTCAGGTAAGAAAAAGAATAAAGGTACCTATACAATAGTGTCTTGTAGCTAACGTTTAATACAACGCACGAGTGACGTGCGACTCACGTGCGACTTGCGCGCGGCAGAGAGACGAAGCTAGGGCGCGGTGTAAACGGCTGAGGGATCATTTGGTACAGGTCAGAGTCAGAGAGAGTGTCTTTTAATACAATGCTACATAATAGGGCAAGTGTCTTTTAGATAATGCCACAACGAGTAACATGCGATTCACGCGCGATTCTCGCGCGACAGAGACGAGATGAGGGCAAGGTTTAAACGACTGAGAGATCATTTGATTCAGGTACACAGTAGCATAAGTGTCTTCTAGCTCGCAATACAACGCGCGCGCTTCGTGCGGTGCGCGCGTGTCGCGACGACGCGCTGGCCGAACGCGCGACGCTCGCGCGACAGAGGGACGAAGCTAGGGCGCGGTGTAAACGGCTGAGGGATCATTTGATACAGGTAAAGTATAGTGTGATTTCTGCTTAAGTGTCTTCTAGCTCTCAATACAACGCGCGAGTAAGGTTTAAACGGCTGAGGGACCATTTAATCTAGGTAAACACAATAGAATTAGCGTATTCTAGCCTCCAGGATCATTTGATACAGGTACATAGTAGCATAGTGTCTTCTAGCTCTCAATACAACGCGCGAGTAACGTGCGACTCACGCGCGATTCTCATGTGACTCAAGCGCGATTCTCGCGCGGCAGAAAGACGAAAGTGAAAACGCAGTGTAAACGGCTGAGGGATCATCTGATACAGGTAATAGTGTAACATCATTTATCATAAGTGTCTTCTAGCTTTTAATACAACGCGCGAGTGACGTGCGATTCACGCGCTACTTTCACGATGCAGAGGCAGAGAGGGACCACTTAATCCAGGTGTTAAAGAGCTCATTGGGTAATTATTTTGCCATAGTTTAAATAGTTTAAGTGTCTTCTAGTTGTTGCTACAACGCATGGGTGACGTGCGATTCAAGCGCGTCACCTGCGCGGCAGAAAGATGAAAATAGAGCGCGGTGTAAACGACTGAGGGATCATTTGATACAGGTAAGTTGTAGCATTAGTCTAAACTAGAATAACCTAAGTGTTTTCTAGATTTATCAAAGGAATAAGAGTCTTCTCGCTTGTAATACAACGCGCGAGTGATGTGCGATTCACGCGCGAGTTTCGCGTGGCAGAGCGTTGAAGATAGAGCGAGATGTAGAAGGCTGAGGGATCATTTGATACAGGTATACAGTAACATTATCATATATTTAATCCTTCAGAGACTAGATTAAGTCTTTCCCTCCAGGTATCTCGCGACGAGGCGTGGGTGCAGATTCAAGCTCTCTCTCTTTCTTTGTCTGTGAGACCATGGCTTCTAGAAGTATTTCGTAATCGTAACATTTCATGAAGATTCTAGATTAAAAGTGAATTAAACTTATTAACGACTACACTCTTATCTTTCCAGGTCCTCACCGACCGCCTAGACAACTCCAAAGTGCCAGAAATCGACGTCGAAACAACAGAATCTCAGCGCAAGCCCAAAGAAGAGAAAGACACAGCATCGTGCCCTCTCACTCCCGCCTGCGACATAGAAATAGACAAAAACATATTCGAGTGTCGAATAGACAAACTTGTCCAAAAAAGCGTCAACCACATCTTCAACAAAAATGATAAAAAAAAGATTTTCGCCAAAACTGTTTTTTTGACAGACGACAAAGAAAAAAATTCAAATTCCAATGCGCCGTTGAATTTCAAAATACAAAATTCGAATTCGAAATTGCAGTCGAACGTCACTTTTCATAATTCGAACGTCAAGTCTGTGGTCTTCGAAGGTTTGAACTGCTCGGTTGACACCACGGAGGTTTTGAACTTGTCGGTTAAGGAGGGTAGACGGAAAAGTCATGGGAGGAAGCAGTCGGCGCCTAGACGGATCACTTATGTGGAATACGAGGGTAAGTTATCTTTTTATCATCATCACTATTTCAGCCACAGGACGTCCACTGCTGAACATAGGCCTCCCCCAATGACTTCCACATCGCCCGGTTGGTAGCGGCCTGCATCCAGCGCCTTCCTGCTACCTTTATGAGGTCGTCGGTCCACCTTGTGGGTGGACGTCCTACGCTGCGTTTTGCAGTACGTGGCCTCCACTTCAGAACCTTGCTGTCCCATCAGCCGTCGGTTCTGCGTACTATGTGCCCTGCCTCAGTGCCTGAAGACGAAATTCTATAACCAATGTGTGTTATCAGTGATGACTTATGGTTCGGAAACGTGGCCTCTCGCCATAGGCCTTATACAGAAGCTCAAAGTTGCACAGCGTGCTATGGAGAGGGTTATGCTCGGTGTTTCTTTATGAGATCAAATCGGAAATGAGGAGATCCGTAAACGAACTAAGGTCGCTGACATAGCCCGACGGATTACCAAGCTGAATTAAAGCCCGGTCTGTGAGCACGTAGAATTTTGTTCAATGACCCCTAGCTACCCATCCTTATCGCTCGCGCCTAATTATATTGCTGTCGCGACTGTGCGACGGGCGCCCGCAGTGAGTGTGCGAGCGCGATAGCAACATAATTACGCGCGAGCGATAAGGATGGGCAGCTTGGGGTCATTGGACAAAATTCTACGTGCTTACAGACCAGACTATAGCGTGGTTTGAACATAAATAAAATAATTGTTTGTTTGTCCACAGTTGGCCCAGATGTGGTTCTCGACTTAAAAATCAAAAAGGAACCGCAGTGACGTCACCGCGTGCACACCACACAGACCAAAAATGTAACTATATAATGCGCAAAGAAACATAGATCTTAAGTCGTTCGAATAACGTCCATTATTGACCGTGTCTTGTTGAAAGTTGAGAGTTTTATAATCTGTCTATACGCGTCTCGCTCGCACTTCATTTGTTAGACAAAGACGTGCGTATGACCAATATATTGTGAAGTTTTGCTCCGTGAAATACCTATATTATTTAGAATTCTATTTTTTAGAAATTGGTTTTAAAAAGAACCATTTATTAAACTATGCTTAAAATTAACATTTGCGGAGTCAAGACATTGTACTTATTTGTATATTGTATAATATTGTGTGTCCTTTTTATGTGTGATAGTGACAATAAGTGTCATGGCTTAGATGGATGGAAGGTTTAGATCAGGGGTGGCCAACCGGTCGATCGCGAGTATTAGTCCAGTCGATCGTAGCAAGGCAAAAAATACTAGGTACATGATTGTGTACTAAACTATGCTGTTTCATTTAAGATTTCAAGAAGTATGTAAGTGGTAGATCACCCAGGGTTTCGTTAGTAAACAGTAGATCTTATGTCAAATCAAGTTGGCCACCCCTGGTATAGATGAACTACACTGAACTGTCCCACCAAACTCATTGACAGGGGGGCGCCACCATCGTTCAACTATACTTATCTTATAGTTTCCAACATGTCAAAAATCGGAACCAGCGAACCGGTATTGACGGTGGCGCCCCCTGTCTATGTCACGGGTGGGACAGTTCGTTGTTGTTCATTTATATTAACACATTGACATGGGAAGTATTGACCTGTTTAACAAAGAATTTTAACATGAAAGAACAAAACACAAATTCTTTATACCGCACCCTACGCTCTTTGAGAATTTAAAAAATCATAAAATTATTATTGTGAAACATAAATTTTAGAAGAGGTACCTATTAAATATTAATACTTCATTCGTCTATAAAAATATAGAAGTGGTGCTATGCTATTTTTGCCCTTTTTTCTGACTGAACGCAAAATCTTTTTTGGTCTTTTTTGAGTAAGAAATCCGTATTATTCTGATTTCCAAAGTGCCAAAAGCTATATTTTCTACAAAAAACATCGGTAAAAAGCTGTAAGAGATCACTTGCTGAAACCATTAACCAATAATTCCCAATCACAACTTAAGAAAGTTATTATGTTAGCTTTTTATTAATGATTGAATGTAATATGAAGTTTTACCATGCTTAGTTTAATGATTATACTTATACAGGGTGTCCCGTAAAGAGCGTGCCAAACTTAAGGAGATTGACGAATGGATGGCCAACACAAAAAAAAAATGAAAATTATCACGATTTTCAGCTTCGTTTTCTTTTCATGTTATTTAAAACCTCAATTTTGAGTCTTTTCTCTTGTTGCTGTGTGTACAAATGAGCAGATATTTCTCTTATTCTTCTTTTTATACATCTTGAAAATACTATCCCATTTATAAACAAAGCAACAAGAGATAGGCATAAAATAGAGGATTTAAAATGACATGAAAAAAATCATATCTTTGAAATGGGGATATTTTTACTAAAGGATTTTTTTCGTATAGATAGATGATCATCCATTAGTCTATCTATCATAAGTTTTGTACGCTCTTTACGGGACACCCTGCAGTAACATTAATTCGCCTGGACACTTTCGAATGATAATCTTGAATTCTCGATATATTCACAACTAAATTTAGTTAAGGGAGTTTGAAATATATTTTTAGAAGGGGATGAATGTTGAATTTTGTTGATACTTGTATTATTGAGTTTGGTTGTAGCGTTATAGAATAAAGGTCATAGCAGACTTATCAACTTAGAAAGGGATCAACACCGTATCGCTTTTCGCGAGCTGTCAACCGCGAGGCGAGGCGTTTACGTTACGGTGCGGATAAGTGTGCGTTGCAGTATGGAGTTTCATACAAAGAATACTGATTACGTTTCCCGGTTGTTAAGTGTCCTACGTCCTTAAGTGTGCTAATATATGACGGCCAAAAATGTCGAAGAATGAACGTCCAATGAGGGCTACCGTATTTGTTAGCCAGATGGCGCCACTGTCAACGTAAGGGTTTTCTTTTTTATCCACAACGAGGAAGCTCTTAGCCTGTAACTCACCTGATGTTAAGTGATGATCAGGCCGAAGGTGGAAGCGAGCTGCACCCAGAATCCTCAACCACGGAGGAACTGGCTATCTTACCTCTAACTGCCGGAACACAACAATGCTTTTAACATTGCTGTTATGGCGACAGACTTAGGTAAGATGGTGGTAGCTAGCCAGGTGGACTTAGAACAAGCCCTACCACCAACCAAACCGAACAGAAAAATCTGCCCCCACTGGGAATCGAACCCGGGACCACTGCGTCTGAAGCAGGTGGTGCTGAAGTGAACTATCGCTTTTTGGGATTTTATTATTTTCTTATTTCTAACACTCCTTTCAAGGTACGCAAATACGATAGCCTTCATTATTATAATCATTAATCTACATTTCCAATGATAATTTCTAAAAAAGGCCAATTTTGAGTCAGAACCGCGTAATGAGGGTTCCGTAAGCTCATTCAAGATGGTTGATATATCTTCTCATATTTTACTTGAAAAATACACCATAGTATTTCCTTTCATGCCTTCCAGATTACTTTAAAATATAATTGTTTGTAAACGTAGCAGGAAGGCGCTGGATGCAGGCCGCTACCAACCGGGCGATATGTGGAAGTCATTGGGAGAGGCCTATGTTCAGTAGTAATATAACAGTTTATTTAAAGAGTCCTTAGATGATGATAAGGACTGTGATGATGATGATGATAATTGTTTGTTCTTACTACGGCTCATCTTGAAATGTGAGTGTGTTAAAAATGATATTTTATGATAAAACTAGCTGACCCGGCGAACTTTGTTCCGCCTTAATTGCAATAAATAAGCAGACTTTTTTTTATTTCGAACGGGATAAAAAGTATCCTATGTCCTTCTCCTGGCTCTAAACTACCTCCCTGACAATTTTCAGCTAAATCGGTTCAGCCGTTCTTGAGTTATAAGTGGAGTAACTAACACGACTTTCTTTTATATATACAGTGTGAGTCACGTTAAAGTGTACATATGAAAATAGATGAAACTAGACCTGTTCTTATCGACAAAAAAGAGGTCAAAAAATTTTTGAGATTTTTTTAAAAAATTTTATATAATTTTTTTTCTTCCAATTACTTATTGTAAAGAAAACGTACTAACTTTTAAACTAAGCGGTATATCCTGATAAAATAAAAACAGTAATAATGCTAAATAACAGGAAATACTAAAAAAATACATAAAATATACAAATAAGGCCAACAAATAATAAAAAACGATACTTTTTGAAAAAAATCTGCTTAAATATTCGTGTTTTTTTGGTTATTTGATAAATTTCACCAAAAAATGCCCCCATAACTGGTGGTTTTTANGTAGAAATTTATCAAATAACCAAAAATACACGAATTTTTTAGGAGATTTTTTTCAAAAAGTATCATTTTTTATTATTTGTTGGCCTTTTTGTGTGTTTTACGTATTTTTTTAGTATCGCCTGTTATTTAGCATTATTACTGTTTTTATTTTATCAGGATATACCGCTTAGTTTAAAAGTTATTACGTTTTCTTTACAATAAGTAATTGGAAGAAAAAAAATTCTATAAAAAATTAAAAAAAAATCTCAAAAAATTTTTGACCTCTTTTTTGTCGATAAAAACAGGTCTAGTTTCATCTATTTTCATATGTACACTTTAACGTGACTCACACTGTATAGATAACATGATATTTTGATAAAATTATATTTAGATGTGACTGCTATGATAATTTAGTACTCTTTTATATGTATAATATTGTTTTATATGTCGTTGATAATCAAAAAATAATTCTTGAAAATATTTTAACATTGGACGTTTTAAAAAATTTATAATGAATAAATGTAATATTTTTAACCTTTATAATGTGATGAAGTTATTAAGTTTTTGTATGGTGGCCTAAATTACTTCCTATAATTATAAATGATGAATTTCTCCATTATATTTTAATGTTTTGTACTATAAGATTCAGAATTGTATTGAGAAGTCATTGTTTTGGTAAGTTTTTATTTTGTCTGGCCAATATTTCTTGGGATGGCAAGTGTCTTCAGAAGTTTTCAGGGCATATTGTTGCTTGTTTAATTATGTACGTTAAGCTTGAAAGTGCCAGCTAATATTATGTGTAGTCCATTAGAAGAGTTTAAATATTGCCATGGATAAGTTTCATGACAAATGTTATACAAGTATACAATATTATATGTATGTATCGTTAGATATACATTGTTAGAGTTAAGAACAAAATTGTGTATAGATTGAATATAATGTGATGTTGAGTTTTAATAAATAATTTTAGTTACCTAAATTATGTGGTTTTCTTTCTTAGTATTCTTTACGATTATGTACCATCCTAGACAGCATCCCACTTAACATAAGGTGTGATTTCATTGCAATCAAATGCTTAGATTGAAAATTGGTAGGTTTCGATTCACTTAGGAAATTAACATAATATCTATATGTATTTTGGCGAAAATAGAACAGTGGCCACAGAAAACAATAACTGTATGATAAAGAAATAGGAAGGTTACAAAACTGTATTCCAAATACGTAGGACATCCACTCACAAGATGAACGATGTGCAACGACCTCTTAATGCTGGATGCAGGCCGCTACCAACCGGCCATTGTAGAAATTATTTGGGCGAGGCCTATGTTCAGCAGTGGACGTCCTATGGCTGAAATGATCATGATGATGATGATTCCAAACACTCCAAAGTTAATTACACATTTTTACTTATCCGGTTTACTTAAAGATAGAATTATTTACCAGAGGGTAACAAGGAATTGGCCTATAACTAACTCCACCCACGCTGACAAGCATATTGTCAGCTTTTTGTCCTTCTAGCCAGCACCCAACGATATCCACGGGAAGAGTAGGGGTATTAAAATGAATATTGATGAAAATTAAATTTGAGTGAGAATAGGCACTTACTGGACAGGAAACTGTAGACGTGGGTAAGACCATAGTACTTTATTAATGAGTGTACCTACCCACAAAGACTATAAATCTAGAGTTATTAATAAAAATAATAAATAAAACGTTTATATATAATAATTAACTTTTAAAAAAAATAAAACCGACTTCAAATGCGTGAACACAAAAAAAAACTAAAAATTAAAAATATTGCGTATAAAAAAGTTCATCCCCAATTTTCCACCCTTGGGGGTGAAATATTTTCTTCAAATTCGCATGAAATCACCCTTTTGATAATACCTATTCAACAAAAAAATAATCGTTCAAATTGATTTATAATCGGCGGAGATATTGCGCATAAAAAAGTTCATCCCCAATTTTCCACCCTTGGGGGTTGTTTTTTCTATTATTAAATTTAAATGGGACCACCCTTGAGGTATTCTCAAATCGGTTCATAATGAAGAATGTTCACTAATTTTGTTTTTTAGCTTTCTGTATTCTCTGTTAAAAATAAAAAATACACGTGAAAGAATTATTTCGATACGTCAATTAGTTTCCAAGATATTGAATTTTAAAAGTGCGGGCGGCGGCCGGCCCGCCATTTTATGCGCGTGACGTCATATTACAGTGACTGGCTCATATTTGTATGGGTGGAATCTTGCAAGCTGAATTAAGACCCACTTCCAGGCAACCGATTAAGCTGAAATTTCGCAAACACATGTGATTTGGATGACCATGCAATATTATGATAACATGGAGCTGATCTGATGATGGAGCTGGAAGGTGGCCATAGGAACTCTATGATAAAACGACGTAAATGCATCGAGTTTGGGCTCGTTCGTTTTGTATTGATGAGTATTTTAATTCTATATAGTAATCGGGGTCTAATGATGGAGTTGGAAGGTAATTCGCAATAAAACGACACAATCGCATCAAGTTTGGGTTTGGTTCAATTTTAATTTTTGTGATGGGTCTGGGTGTTAATATGTGTAATAAGTTTGTATTTACAAAAAAAAATATATTTAAGTATGTTTATATCCGTTTTCTAGTGAGCGGACGCTGTGAATGTACGTCACACGGGGTCACGTGACCGTCGGCGGGACTCAATATTTAAGCGAACTTTGAATGCCTATAAAATCATAACTAGTGGGTATTTTTGAATTAAATAAAAACTAATGTATTTGTAAATGTAAAAGCTTAACTGTAACATAGGTTTCAAGTGATTTTGCATACCTAGTAACATTCTCAATTAGCGGAGTTATCGCGTAACAAACATAGAAAAAAAAAAACATACGGGTCGAATTGAGAACCTCCTCCTTTTTTGAAGTCGGTTGAAACAGAGGTGGTACATATTCTTGACAACATTACAAAGTTATAACATGCATAAACAGCATGCTAGATAGGTACTAACTTTGCCTGTAAATGAGACCCAAACTGTTGCAATGCCCTCACAGGGCTCATGTTCTGGGACTATTTTATTTTTAATACCTTGTTTGTACCACATGAAGCAATAAAGATACTATGATTAAGAGTTAGTTGTGCGTTATGTGCTATACTTCTATGAGTAGTATTCGAACAATATGATTGTTAGGAAGAAAAAAGTAACTATTACGTGCCCTTTTTAATTTTTTATAGGATAATAATTAATGAATATAGTTTTTGCGCCATCTAGTTAAATTATTATGTACTACTAAGTACGTCTACTTGCCGATAGATGGCGATAGCGTAGTTTCTATAAGTGCCATCTAGCGGTTGGTAGAAGACTTACTACAAATAAAAGCATTGCGTTTAACGCCATCTATTATTCATTTCTTAAACTTCTTAGTCCCTTTCTAATGTGTAGACGTCGCTACAGGTTTTTTTGCATCTGGCAACATTGAATTCTACTAGCGACCTCTAGTGTCATTAATGAAAGACTTTCCTTTTGTCTCGTCCGATCCAATATGGCGGCAAACGGTGTATGAAAGGTGCGGAATGTTTTGGTTTTGGGACGAACAATAAAAATAGTGAAAAATCGACGAACCCCGAGAAAAACATGCAATGGCCGGCGCTGTAACGCGATTGCCTTGCTACTAATACTGAGTGAGATAACGTTACGCGAGTGTTGTGTCATTCTTGGTGTATTTTGAAAAGTGATTTTTTTCTGTGAGTTTTCTCGCTAATGTGTTCGCCTGTGGTATTAATATGTGACATCAGTTTACGCGATAGATATGTCTACCGATCCTGATAATAATACATGTCCTAATACGAGTGCTATCCAGGTTTTTGTTGACAGTGCCCCTGAATTAGTAGGGGATAGTAGTGAAAATGAATCTGACAAAAAGAAGAAAAAATCTCGAAATGTGTCCTTCCCTGATGAAGATCAGCTAGTGACCCAGTACTTCGAGCCGGCCAATCCTTGGCAGAATGGTAAGTGTACCTCTAACCTGATAAATTCTAACCAACATATAGCAATACAACAGTCTATCATAGTAAAGATCAATTAAAAAACGAAGGTCTTCTATAATCCTGTGTGATTTCTACAATTAAAAACAAATTTATTGATTATGCACATCATATTTTTAAGGCTCCAGTATTACACAACCGATAATCAACAACAGGTTATTAAATTTTCAATATTGTTGAAAATCACATATTTTTTACTACAAAATTACATAAAATAATTATAACAATGTAGGCACTGCGTACCTATATCAATAAATTAATACCAATTATATTAAAGAGCAAAATATTTAAATTCAAAACATTTAACAGTAGGTGATAAACAGAATTCAATACAAAAATAATATTAATTACATAATTTAATATTTATCCTCAATTTAACGGTTATCCTGTTATTATTTATACTTACGAGCTAAAATAAAATAAAAACAAACCTAAGTTTATTTTGACTAGATCGCCTAAAATCAACTTTAACATAACTTTAACTTAAAACTTCGTAAAAGTTTAAACCCCCGCACCAATACCTATGCCAATACTCTAAGATTTTTTAACGCACTAAAGCTGGGTTGCACCGTCTTAATTTAACTTTGACAAACGTCAAAAATCTGTCAAACTCCATACAATAATCACCCGTCATCATTACGGTCAAAGTTTGGTGGTGCAACTTAGCCTAACAATCATACACTGTACAATACAGGCATGTCAGTCTTGTCCCAATAATGGGCAGACTCATGTTCTTATGGTAATCATTTTTTTAAATTTTAACATAGTTTTTTGGTTTTTTTTCCACACAGCCTCCTGATTCGACCATTGACTTAGTTGTATGTACCTAAAAATAAATTAATTAATATTTCTTTCAGAGTAAAAATCTCTCTTTCATAGTTATTGGTTTCAGTCCAATCTATGAAGGTTAAATAGGTTAGGAATTTATGAATAAAAAATGTTTTAATAATATCCTCTCCCTCTCATCTACTACTTGATTGATACCTAATTAATTGTAGTAGAATGAAATTGTTTTCTCATTAAATGTATATTTTAAAGCTGGTAAACCTTTGAAAAAGAGGCTGACAATAGTGACTGAGTTTCTTGCGCTGCTTCTTCTCAGCACTGGTCCATTTATTGTCCTGAAGCAGTGGTAGGGTTAATACTGGGACCAATAAAAGTGCTTTTTTAAAGCCTATTTGCAGAAATAAATGAGTTTTATTAATTAATAAAGCTAGTACAGGCTTTTTTAAAGATTTATAAGATATTTTAAGGAACCCTTTTCTTTTGTGGTCCAGCCAGTGTATCATAATAAATTACCATCCATTTGACATTTTAGGCATTATACAATATTAAGTTTTAGGTACTTTGAACTGTTATTTGTAATAGCAGACCTACTACATGTAAAAAAATAGATAAGAAATAATGTAAACAAACTGTAAGACTATTAAACATTATGAGATCATCGAAAATTATACAATATACTACCTTCTGTCTGCGGCTTGGTCTGTCTATCTTGGTCATTAGTTTCTTAAGCCTAAGTCGCACACCACTATAACCGTAACTATAACTTTAACCGGTGTTTTTGTATGGATTTTAACAGTAAATAAGATTATTATGCAACCCAGGGAAAGTCTACCACAATCAATCTACTCCTATGTTGATTTCTGCATGTTAAAATTCCATCTTTCATCAGAAAAAATATTCGTTTTCCCCATTAAGGCTTCTTTTTTTCTATTTTTCCCATAAAATATAGCCTTCTTTCTCCAATATGCAATCGACATTATGCAGCATAATTATGCTATAAAAACACACTAAGATTTAAAATCTATATCTCTCAACAACATTCATGAAAACGTAACAAACAGGCATAGTTTATTAACAAACATACTTATACAGTCAACGCTAAATAGTTTATGGGCACCCAAAGTGGCCAAAAAGTTGACACCCAACCTTATTACAATTCTAACAGAGACATTTGTGAACTTATTGGCTACTTTGGGTGTCAAACTATAATTGACACTAACTGTACCCTAGATGTAGTGGTTCTACATAAATATAATATAAACATTGTTCACAATGATATCCTTTAATCGTTCTAAGTGCAGAGCAACAAGGCACAAAGCGTTGCATCATTACAACCATTACAATCGCAGCATCTGGCAAGATGTCAAGCTCGTTTCCTCGTACTGTGAGAATATCGGAATGCCTTTGTTTATTTGCTTTGTTGATTGTGACTGACTGCGGTGATAATTAATTTCGTTTGATAAATTAATCGCACGGTTGGTAGCGGCCTTTTTTTTAGCCCAGGAAAATGGCCTATCCATACCTACCGCCGGGGGACGGTTATGTGGGGCTCGAAACCACTAAAAACCTGGGGTGTTCCCTCTGCCGCATAGTGGTCGCGCCTTGGGTACTAGAAAAGGCGCCTTCCGCGGACGTCCGCCCTACACGGCGGGACCCAACACGCCCCCACTTAATGGGGGGCCGACAGGATTAGCCGGGAACACGAGGCCAATCCCGTCTGATGGCGGTGGAGGAGGTGCCCCCGCGTCTCCAACCTGCTGGCTACCACCAAGGGGAGGAAGAAGCGAACGGTCGTATAACCGCCTTCTAACTCCCCTGGTTGGTAGCGGCCTGCATCCAGTATTCCAGTTCCTTTCTGCTACCTTTAGCAGGTAGTTACCGTTGGTACCGTGCGATGTGAAAGTCATTGGTGGAGGCCTATGTTCAGCAGTGGACGTCATTTGACTGAAACGTAGCGCTGGCGGATTGATAATGGGATATCCAACACAAAAAGAATTTTTGAAATCTGTCCAGTATTTCCTGATTAGCGTGTTCAAACAAACTCTTCAGCTTTATAATATTAAGTATAGATTGATAATAATAGGTATCTATAGATTTATTACTAGGCCGAGGTATAGGGAAAATTTAGCTAGCACGTCTACGGCAGACTGTAAATAAATAAACACTGATAACACGACTGATAAGAAACCCAGTGGAGTTGGATGCAGTAGGCTTACTAAAGCCCGGTCGCGCTCGCACACTCACTGAGGGCGCCCATCGCACAGTCGCGACAGCAATATAATTACGCGCAAGCGATAAGGATGGGTAGCGACACCCCTTCTCGGGCGATCACGGAACGCCGCGGAGGTTTTAGTGGGTATATCCCGTCCTATTCAGGACGGAGCAGCCCCCTTCTCAGGGCGCCGGGAGTCCCACACACCACCCTGTCCCCCGGCAGTGGTGACGGTGCGCAAAGCATTTCCTCTGCGACAAAAAAAAACTAACCAATCTGTACTTTACGTTCTTCGAACTCCTATGATGCTCTTCTGATTAATTTCGTTGCGGGTCCAATGACAGTTTAACTTTCCCCCGGGACAAACTTTAGGGACGGATCGGGTTTTTGAGTAATTTTCACTAATTTCACAGCCACAGGACGTCCACTGCTGAACATAGGCCTTCCTCAATGATTTACATATTGCCCGCTTGGTGCGGTCTGCATTCAGCGCCTTCCTGCTACATTTATGAGGTCGTCGGTCAACCTTTTTCCCAAAATCACTAATCTTCTCAAAAAGGCAAAAAGTTAGTAGTAATACTACTGCTTTTCTTCAATTGTATTATTTATCTTTGTCAGATCTTTCGCCGCATAGATAGATCTTAACCCAAGACAATAAGTTCGAATTTGCAACGTTCATATTTGCTATCGTTCCACCAAGGTTGCTATAACCAATTGTGAATTATACTTCCTTGTTTGAAAGGCTTCAGTTAAGACAAGATAACTCATTCATCGTGTCATTATCATCAATTGCTAGCTTATGCCTGTGGCTTCGCTCGCGAATTTACGGTACAGAACACAACATTCTTCCAATTGTAACAGACGTGTTGCGAACTTTTTGGCTACTTTGACTATACGATACGCGAACGAAGCTCTTGGCATTCCATATCACCTGATAGAAAGTGATGATCAGGCCGAAAGTGGAAGCGAGCTTCACCCGGAATCCTCAACCACGGAAGAACTGGCTATCTTACCTCTAACTGCCGGAACACAATAATGCTGTTAACATTGTTGTTATGGCGACAGACTTAGATAAGATGGTGGTAGCTAGCCAGGCGGACTTAGAACATAGGTAAATGGAGGATTTGGCCTTCTTCGCTAGTACCTAGATGGGTTGAAAGGCTTGATAGTCATATATTTGTCCCTTAGTCACCTCTTACGACATCCACGAAGAGTGGGGGTCGTCCTACCGTGCTTTCCCTCATAATTTCATCATCATCATTTCAGCCGTAGGACGTCCACTGCTGAACATAGGCCTCCCCCAATGGTTTCCGTGTTGATCGATTGGTAGCGGCCTGCGTCCAGCGCTTCCCTGTTACCTTTATGATGTCGTCGGTCCACCTTGTGGGTGTACGTCCCACGCTGAGTTACCCAGTACGGGCTTCCATTCCAGAACCTTGCTGCCCCATCGGCGGTCAGTTCTGCGTACTATGTGGCCTGCCCATTGCCACTTCAGCTTGTTAATCCGTCGGGCTATGTCAGCTACTTCAGTTCGCTTACGGATCTCCTCATTTCTGATTCGATCTCGTAGTCTCATAATTTCAAAGACTAAAATCCCGCTAACATCGTTAAAAGCACACAAAGATGGAGTTATATTTAGAACCGGGAACGGTATTTTCCTATGTTTTGAAAACTGTTTTGGCACTCGTTTCGGTGTAAACTTGTTTATTGACGGTACGTGGAGATTATTGGCATCACCTTTTGATTGTAAACGAATAAATTAAAAGGTTTATAACGTACGTGTGGTTCCGGAAGAGTGGAATGGAACCACTCTTTCCGTGGATGTCGTAATCATTTTTTTTTGTCGCGGAGGAAATGTTTTGCGCACCGTCACCACTGCCGGGGGACAGGGTGGTGTGTGGGACTCCCGGCGCCCTGAAAAGGGCGGGGTATACCCACTAAAACCTCCGCGGCGTTCCGTCATCGC